CCCTTCCTAGATATATTTCTAAGCAGACGAGAAGATGACTCAGTCAAACGATCCATTTTTCGAAAACCGACGTGGACGGGTCAATACCTTAGTTACTATAGTTATTGCCAATTTAAATGTGTGTGTGGTCACACATACATAGGGAGGGTGGGTGAACTAATTGGAGGGTGGAGCAATCGTGATCTGAAAATTAGGGTGGGTGAACATGTACCAAAATGGTTGCAAAAACAAATACAGTCGAATGACCCAATAGGAGTAGAGGATAAACATCCATCATCCTCTGTTGCTAAACATATAATCGAAACAGGTCATAAGATTGATCTAAACTCGGCTTTTGTGGTGTTGTATAAAAGTGTAAAAGGGCGTATACTAAGGTTTATTGAAGCCTTAGCCATACGAAAATTCAAACCTCCTTTGTGTATCCAAAATCAGTTTGTTCTCTCCCTAAATCTACCCTGGTAATATTAGCTTATTATCCAGAGTGATTAGGTGTCAAACTGTTTTCACATTATTATTATTATTATTATTATTATTATTATTATTATTATTATTATCCTTGTCTACTCTTACCCTCAATTTCCACTCTAGTTGACCTTTTATTTCTATATTTAAATGTTCTTAACAAGTATATGTGTGATCAGATCATTCGAAATGTATTGTATCACATAGTTCTGATAATCGTCTTTTTATTACACTATCGAAATTTATCCAAGGGACTAATTGCTTTAAACTAACTTTAAGTTTACTGAACTAGTCTTCAAACTATTCATATTGCATATTTCTAATTTCGGTTGCTATAAAGATGAGTTGCATTAAATAATAGTTTTGCTACTTGATCGAACTAGAAAATATCATTGAAAATATGATTTAAGTATCACAGTAATATCTCGAATTATTCATTGCAGTTTCATTCAATTTTCTCATAGTATTTCAGTTTATTGCATTTATATCAAATGTGTTGACCCCAAAGCTTGATAAATGTCAAAATAATGTTTTTTCTACAAGATTTGCTTTTAAAGTTTAGATAAGAGAAAGTTGTAGTTTCTTGAATTGTAAATAGCAGATTAAAAAAAAGGGCTCTGTTTATGTAGTAACATTAACTTACTTTCTCATTGAGTTTCTTTTACTAATGTGTATTATAATTATGCGAAACTATCTGACGGAATGCGAGTAACCTAGTTCAGTCCAATAAACAGTCTTTCACTAATGACACTTGTCACACAACCATTACTAAACAATATTATTTCTTTTCACTTGGTGTGTAATATTAGCCAATTAGTAAATTACAGTTTTCATTGGTAATGAAAACGTAGTCGGATTAGTTTTAGTAGAAACTGATTACTTTCAGTGTCTTTCAAGTTAGAATTTGAGTGAAGGTGAATGAAAACAACACATAACAAACTTGTTGATTGAGTGAGAGAGACCAAATATAGTTTACATGAATAAGGAGAGATATTTCAAGTTTATGAAGATACTAAGAGGTCCATCATTTTCAGTGATTTGTGATGCAAATGGTACTGTCATTCCATGGGTTTTTATGTGTTACATAAGTTCAATGAATCGGTATTACCTATCACTATTAATTAATATTTCACAATACAGAAAGTATAGTATATTTAGGATACTGTATCAAGAATATACGGACGGTTTACTTTAGTATTAAAACTAATAATCTATGAAATTATCTAAGTTTTAAATCCACTGAAAATGAGGAAACACTGAATATTGATCCCGTCCTTGTGGAATTTAAACATATCGAATGTAAAGCATTTATTCTTTGAAGACAATAGAAGATGATTGTGCAATATCGCGAATTGATCGAAGTTAGACATGTACACAATTGCATGCTTAGTTATGAAAAGATTACGCGTTTGCGGTAAGATAGAGGATCTTGGGTTGAGTCACTGGTGAAGTTGGGGATGTCCAACATCGAGGATCCCCATAATAGGACGTAAAAGGTTTCATGTGCTTACTGATTTTTGGTAGATGTTTAACTTAGGTTGATCCATGATTTAAAGAACCTTAGAATAAGAAATTTCCCGATGTGCATGTCATTTATGGAACACCATAAAATCAGATTGTTTTCATGAAAATGTATAATAATTGAAAATAGATTGTTATTTTTGAAGTATATATGCACGCTACGATTTGAAAGTGTTCCACAGCTTGAAGGTATTCTTTTCTACAGAAGTGCTGTTTCGTATCAGTGAGTTTTCACAATCACTAATAGTAAGGAACATAAGATCTTCATCTGAAACCTGAAAGATTATGTCTGAAAAAAGAATTTAACAACCTGAGTCCAACATTATTTTTACTGAGATCAGATAGTCCGTGAATACAATTTTATTTCACGATTTATGAAAAAGCACTATAATCTACTTTATTTCAACGCAAGTAATACTTCATAAATCAAAACAACCAATTGTTTTATTGAATAAAAATAAAGAGAACTAAGAAAAAAATTTCCTCGACAAAATCATTTATATTAGCTATACATTCATATTCAGAAATCTTGGTAAATGAGTGAGATTCGTGTTACTGAAGAGGTTTTCTGTTATTTGACTTGATGAGATATTGGATTGTTAAACTAAATGAATAAAATGCTAATCGATGGATGAATGCAATAACAAAATGTGATTGGATGATGGCTGTTTCTTAGAATACACTTTCAACTTAAGCTCCTGGGCGATTTCTAATCAAAGGATTGATTACTAGCCAGATGAATACTTTACATGAAGTAGAATAACCCACTTATACACAGAATATGAACATTGAGACTTGGAGAAATTATAAATTAACCAACGATACTTAAAAAGGTGGATCTTGGATTTAGACGCGAAATTCACTTATCCGTATGACTAAATAGTATTTTTCAAAGTATCTGATGTCATTCTTAATCCCAACTACTAACTCCTAATCTTAAAATCAATTACTCATACTAATTTACAAACCTTTTTTGACCATAGTAGTTCGATGAATATTGTCCAGGTCATTTTAACCTTGTTCATAGGTCGTTCATAATTTGTAGTCACATTCAAGATTTTAGTCTACAAAATCTTTGGTTGTAAATATGATTTCATTAGCTCCAACATGTACATTGAAGTGACTGGAATGGATGAATACTTGTTGTTGCCATACGTTTGCACTATTCGTGCGATAAGAATTACTGATTTAAAAATAAATCCTATCACTTTATTCTTATTCTATTCTGGTTTTATTCAAATCACGATATTTGCTCAAAAATTCATTTTTCAAAGAATTTATTAGAATTTGGTTAGTCCACATTGAATAATTGTAATAATTTGAAAAGATATTTAATTACTGGGCAAGTGTGTTGGTACAGTTGGATTGTTTGACTCACAATCATTGTTTACTTTTAGGTTATTGTATAAATGTCTAACCAAGAGGTGTTGCAGCATAAGATTACTAGGTGGCAGTAAACTATACTGATGACCCTTAACATCCTAAACCAATCAGGGAGCAGAGTTCACTGAAAGAACAGTTTGTCGTATAAAAGTATGACATTTACAAATGATTACAATTATTTGTAAGTTGTTCATCATAATAAACCAAATAAATAATAAACTAAGGAATTAACTTGGGGGATATGATTTAGATTCAGGGTTGAAGAATATTTTTCAAACATAATGATAAATACTCATCACTATATTTATTTAATTACAAATTTTAATCATATTTATTTAGTATTGAAAATGTCAGAGATCATGTTGTAATTTTATATACTACTTATTTCGATTTGCTTTTTCTTGTTTTTTTCCATGCAAATCGAATCACTTTTTCATATTCTTTATTTTTTTGTTTATTAATTGAAGGTCTCAGTCAATAGACAATAGAAGGTTTCATCTAGTTCTCACTTAACCACATACGATAAAACCTATCCATAGTCGAATATGGAATTTCGCTCAAGCATCTAAGATCACCTACTTTTAACCCAGTATGTTTGGTGGTATTGCTTACGTGTTCCAGTTTCTCATTTTTTGACAGCTCTAATTGTGTTTCGACTATTAGGACTACATTTTGACAATATTTATAACATGTTTAGAGTTGATTAAGTCTTTGTTGCTTCCAAAGAATTAATTATCCTTGAATGTGTTGTAAAACAGTTGATTTTCGAAACAAAGATATTTATTTTGTATTGTGATTAAGCAATATTTTTGATAGTTGATAATATAATTGATATGAACTCTTCTGAAGTATTTAAAAAAATTGAGAAAGAAAAGCCTTTAAATAGTATACATAAGTTCCTCATTGTGGATAGATCTTTTATTAATTTTGCTTGTAATATAAACATATAACAATCAATCTGCATGGGTTTGCAGAATTTACTTGAACAATATGTCGAAAATTTAGCTTGAAGTAAACCCTAACCAATCAAACATTTACTCAAGTTATACTAGACCTGTGAAAACAGTTGAGCTGAATGTTTCTGAAAATGCTAGTAAAATAAAGTGTTCTTTATCCACTATGCAAGTGAAACAACTTTTAATTTATAAGATCATCCTGAAATAGGTAAATTCTAATTAAATATCATACAACCATTAAACATTATAGGTACATTTTCCTCGTACATATATAACATCTATAACACCAGTGAAACACAGGTTTTAGTGAATAAAATTACCAATTGAAAAGTGAGGACATGAAGCAACTGCCAGAAGTTATTTTTTTCAAATTATGTGGGGTAATCTGTTATTATGTGCTATGTTAAATTAGAAATAGAATAAGTGCAGACACCAGTTGCCATTTTAAACGTTTTAGGGCTTTATTAATCAAATTTTAACATGTAGTGGTTAGATAAAATCTTGAAATCTATTATAACTACTAAGTGATAAACAACAGATTCTAGTCTCCCTTCATTCACCGTGATTGTAATTTTTTTATTAAATGCATCTAACCATCTAATCGAAACCGAATATTATTCGCCAAACATAACAAATGACCGCATAATAAATATAAGTATTTATGTTAAACATCATTATGACTGATTTTCGTATTCATTTTATTTCGGAGAATATCACATTTGTCTTTTTCACAGAAGTTCAAGGTAAACACCTAACTACAAAATCGAATCATTACATCATCGTATGCTAATTCTTACTAATTTGACTAAATTTAACAATAAGTGACAAACTGAAATATGAATCTAATATTTTGTCAACCTGGATGATTTGGTTTACTCACTGTTTCAAATGTAAAGAATTAAAAATAGATATTCATATCCGATATATAAGCACAGGTTTTGAGCTAAATGTTTGAAATAAACACAGATCGACAACATTTCTCTCATATGAATGTTTACAAAGAATTTTCAATTAGAAATGAGAAACATTAGCCTTTAATTCAGTGGTCTATAAGTATTGTGGTCAATGTGAAGTTCGAAAGTTGCGAATTTGAATCCTTGTATACGTGTTAGACTGATGATTACCAAATTATTCTTTGATTTTTCACTAATTCTCTAGTTAATGTTGTACCATGACAAGAACTAACTTAGGAACCTTCATGAATAAAGTCTTCAATAAGAAAGAGAATTTAGTATACTTTCAAATAAGTTCCGCGAACAGGTAAATGAAAAAACAATGTTTACTTAATGACCAAAATACTTGCAACACATTCAGTAAGTGTCAGAGATTGTGAACATCAATATATATAAGTACCAAAATTATTCAATGACAATGAAATGAAAAAGCAAAAAAATACACTTTAAAAAATCAATTCTGTTCATCATTGTTTATTTCAAATGAGAAAAAAAACGTCGAAACAGACAAAATAAAACAACAATAATGTTGATGCTCAATAACTGATTAAAAAAAATAATGACTTTAAAGAAAATTACATTTTTTTTATTGCTGATTACAAAGTTATGGAAAAAACGTTTTTTTTGAAAAAAAAAATTGATATGTGTATTCGGATATTTTTTTGGTCAGTAGTGGTTTTCTTTTAAAGATTTTTTATAAGTAGTAATATATTCAATCCATGATTTGAAATATTCAGCTTTGATCAACTAATATTTGTAATAAGTAGTTATTTATTCATTCTAACAAAATTTGTTCAGTTCAATTAATTAAGCTAATATATTTGAATGTATGGTATATGTAAAAAAAGAAAAGGAAAAGGAAAGCTGTTCATATATGCTTTATTTTTGTTTAAATTTTGGTCTAAATCATCACAACACACTAATATTTATGGATTTAATAATTTGATACAATCTCGTAAACGATCCACTTCAAGATTGATATGATCTAGACTACTTTCCAAACATGTCTAAAAAAATATAAAAAAAATTTTTTTTGAAAAATAATGACACAAAGTAAATAAACAGAATATTAACATGATAATTAAGAAAAAGAGAAAAAAAAGAAATCAAATTTAATTATTTCACCATTAGCTAATAAACACATGATTATTTACAGTCAAATGTATTGAAATAACCAAAATATAAATGAAAAACATCTATTTATAGTTGTCTAAATATACCGTGGTGGGTTGTGCAGGAATACTGATAATATTCAAATAATAATATCAGAATACTGATCTATTGTATGATTAACTTTACTGTGAGATTCGACCAGCTATTTACACTGAATGCACCGAGTATTGAAAAAAGTAAGACTATAATAATAATTTTTTTCGATGAAACTTGTTAATCACCAACAAAGAAATTTTAAAATTAGACTTATTAAATACATAGATTGATGTAAACAATTATTTATGTAAAGCACAGTGGATCGGAGCATAATTTTCTTGGAGTGAATGCAGCTGCTAGTTACTTAGCATTGAAAGATAAAAGTATGAATGACTAAATGCTAAAGAAACAAAAGTAATACATACACATATTTCTTACCTATAGTAATTTTCTGTAGCCCCAGAATTTAGTTTGTTGACTGAATTTAGGAACCTGATTAAAAATTTGTTTTATTGAACGTTATTTTATATTCTACATGAATTACAATCAGATGACAAAGAAAATTTATAGAAATATTTCGATTAGTGATCTTTTTTATCGTTTACATACTTTGATGGGATAAGAAGTAGTTAACTTGTATCATCGGCTAGACTGGGACTCATTTGCATCCTAACTGTTATCGGAAAAATCACTTTCTGTTATATTATTCTAGTGGTATCTTCGAAGTCGCACAAATATTTTTCATAACTTCTTAGGTCTATCAGTGATTCATTCTTGTGATGTTGGCTGTGTTATGTAATTTATTTATATTCTATGTCAGTAAACGTATACTATAACCACGAGGTGATAAAAATCAACATTGCGGGATTCTAAAAATAATGTCAGCTTGGCATTCATTCTGAGAACCGCTTTGTAGAAAGTGACTTCATTTAATGCTTAACTCTCTTGAAGTTCATCAGAATGCGTTAATTGTACTATCATACTGTAAAAATTACCTGATATAGAAAGAAATCACCACATTCCGAGTAGATCTTCAGAATTAAACTCAATTCAAAATATTACTTAACAATAATTCATAGTTTTATCTCTTTTTAATTTCGAATAAAACTGTCAAAAAAAGTCATTTCTTTTTTCATATGTGGAATCATGGTTCCTTTCGCGTTGAATAAACACATGAAAAACACATTAACATAGTTTCTAAAACAGTGTCATATCATTTTTATTTTCCTTCATCAACTATACAAAACATCACATACTTTTATACTTTATATAAAAAAGTTTTTAAACTGTAGAATATTGACTATAAAGGTTAATGAGAGTCATTAAAAACAATTACATTCATCTTGAACACTATACAAGTTGATACTTTTACATGATTTAAACTATTAATCAAAAGTTTATTAAACGATTTTTTGTTATTTATAAGTGTGGACATATAGAAAAATCTCAATTTAGATCCATCATCATTACTGACAAATTTAAAAATACAGTTTTTTTGTATTTTTACAAAGAGCTGGTTCTAGGATATTCAAATATGGTATTTTATGGAAACTATTATTAATTGAATAATGAACGTTTCTAAACTATATTATTCACTTAGTATTACTTGTTTGAATCTTCCCATTGATGTTTAGAACTGCAACTGGTCAATCTCTTATTGGCCTATGTGCATACTGTGCGTATTGCCTCGATATGGCTTTATTTCACAAGCATTGTAAGCAAAGATGGATAGTGGCTAGCAGTGGAATCCAGGACGCGCGTTTCGTCCTATTTGGGACTCGTCAGCTAGACGTACCTGTATCTCAGAGTTGATGTTCACTCTGGGAATTTAACCCAGTACCTTTTTCGCTTCAAAAGCCATCACGTTATTCACTCAGCCACTGAGTCCTGATAACCACTTGCTTATGCAATGTGGTGAAGTTTAAATTCCCTTAGTATTATTTGTTTGAATCTTCCTCTTGATGATTAGGACTGCAACTGGTCAGTCTCTCAGCTGAGTTGATAACGCGATGACGTTTGAAGCGAAAGGTACTGGCTCCGAGTCCCAGAGTGAACATCAACTCTGAGATACAGGTACACATAGCTGATGAGTCCCAAATAGGACGAAACGCGCGTCCTGGATTTCAATGCTAGCAACTATCTATCTAAGCTATATTATGTTTATTGATGTTAAACTATTTGATTTATATTTGAAAATTAAAAATATATTTGGTTTCTTAATAAAATCCGTTACCTTAGAAACCTTAACATTAATTTGAGTTAAATAATTTGAACTTATGCTTGCTTATAACTATTAGATAAAAAGTATAAGTAACAGTACAAGAATCGGTGAAGTAAAAACACTTCTGTAGTTGATTGTCTGAGAAATCGATCGTTTATAATTGTATGCAGTACATGGATACGATAATATATGTTGAATAAAACACCAAGGACTTTATGATAATGTTGGTTAAGAAGAAATGTACATTCGTTATACATAAAAAATAAATTGAATTAATGATTCAGTGAAAAAGATAATGAAGTACTTTAAACTGTCATACTCCAAAAATCCAAAATTTTTGATCTTTGAACTAAATCAATCAGAAATTAGAAGTGTTAATAGTTTTTTGAATATAATTTAATCTAATATCGAAGTATTGATATGACATAAATCGAAATATGAATGAACATACATCGAATGAGTTTACGTGTTACAGATAATTTATTAACTTAAGCGTGTGGGAAATGTAATCGAATTCTCATAAAATAAACAGGAAGCTATTTAAGATGGAAGGCTAATTCTCAGATACAAGTATAATGATTGTAGATGAGACTAAATCTAAGGTTCAGAAAGACGATGTAGCTAAGTAGCGAATGTGATGAAGAAAGACTACTACTTTGATGTTTTTTTCAAATGAAATTCATATAAAACAGTCAGTATATATTAATCAATGAAGAAAAATAAAAAAGGTAAATATTATGTAAAGACATTATTCGTCACTTCATACTGCTTTATTATTCTGCTTGTTACATATTCTTTACATTGAGCTTAGGATAGCTGAAATAATTCTGTGCTTTTTTTCTCCTTGATACCTGGCTGAGACATTATTTTAATAATCCGATATGTAAAAAGCATACATTCAACCTAATAAAAAGATAATCGTAGTTTTACTAAGTACAAATAAATAATTACGAACGTTTCTTCAGATTGTCTAATAGTCTGGAGGTACACAATTTAAAATACTTTCATTAATTATCTGTATTTCATTAAAACAAGCAGAAATTGTAATATCCCGTTAAACCATCATCACTTCGATTTAATATGTCGATCAGTACTGACGTTATGATGTTCAAATTAAATAACACCATAAATTTTTAATAAGTCATTGAAGTAAAATATACAAAAGGGATTATTTAACTGTTACATAAATATATCGATGAAGTTGTATAATTTTACATCCACATTATGCAACAACAAGTAAGAAACACTTTTGATAAAATGGAAAGTTATTGACTGTAAATAAGGATTCATACTGCTATTATGTTTATTCATTTTTCTACTTATTTCAATACAATACAGTGCTAGGTACATAACCCAAGAGACGTAATCAAATTAGGATACTTCATTAATTTCAAATAGAATTTTATTGCAAACAGACATTGGTTAGAAAATTGTATAAAGTCAGGAAGGATAGCATTGAAATTCCGAAACAAAGATAGACTTTTACTGAAGAACTGGGAACCCTGTACGACAATTTCGTTCTAGTATGAGACTCATCAGCAAGTTGTGTCCACTGAATTGCAGATTGGAATCGAACTAATCACCTTCAGTTTTAAGAACGGATGCTTAAGCTCTAGAACCCTGAGCCGGTACACAAAGGTGTTAATAACTAACGTCAAAAGATCAATGAGTTAGCACAACCGTCTAACATCGTCTTTGGTGGATACCTGCAGCACGCTTTACGCAGTTGAATTCCACTAGTCAAGGTTTCTTAGAGAGAATAGAACAATCGCTGTAAAACGACCAAACTAACCTTCCATAAAACCATAAAGAATCAAGTAAACATGTATTAGTCAGTTAAAACACACTGAATTCTTATCCATGAAATGTTATCTGAAATCAGTGAGTCGGGAACAAACAATCACGATCATCGATTTCCATCAATATTCAATAAGTCTTGATAGTCGTCCAATATTTTCGACAATACTAATCTCCTTTTTCAATATCATTTCACGTAATCACTTTTATAAAATGATCCAAAAAGTGAGTTATACCTTATTTCACGTTTTAAATTATAGCGTAAGAATAGATGTGTATATAATCACCCACAGTTCTTAGTATTGTGTGGAATCTTTAATAGCAACTAGAAGTAACTCTTGAAAATAAATAACCTTAGTGATTCAGTTTTATCTCACAAGAAGTCATAAGTGCAAACTTTTTAAGAGTCCATAACTAAAATATAAGAACGATCAAATGATACAAAACGAAAAAATATTTTAGAACTGGAATATATCTCCACTGGACCGCCGTTTTCAGATTCATAATCACCACTTTAAATGCTCAAAAAACTATCTATTAAGCTAGAAAAACGGATTATTGTGAAAAATGAATTACACGGAAATGCTTTTATTATTTTTATATCATGTTTTAACAATCAAATTTTTAAAAAAAACTCTAGTTTAAATTCCCTTTCAAAAATATCTTATCGAATAGAACTCATGTGCATTAGTTTACTACTGATTTCCGGCTTTTAGTGACAGTACAAGACTGTTGTAAATGAAATTTGTTTGAAGGAGGCTTCTGGTTTTCATTCGAAAAAAAGTAAAATATCCACTGTATAGATTTCATAAACGAAAATTTAAAACATGATAATCTAAATATTGATTATAGCATGTTTCTATCAAGTTGAAATCAGCAAAACAAGACTAAAAATCATTATTTGTATGTTGAAAAACTACTGGCACAGCAACTAATACTATTACTACTGTTACTATAAATACTAGTACTGATAATAAATGCAGTTATAATAGCTACAGCTTTGGCATTTTACTATATTTTACCTCTTTTTTATAAGAACGTTTGAAATCCTTGCATGATCGGCTTGAAAACAATTCATCCTTTTCATATTCATATCAATATCACCAATCAATTGTTCAAATTCAATTTTATTGTACGAAGGATCATTTCATTTATTAAAAAAAATGATTTTATCATTTATTATCAGCATTAACATTATCATCACCGACGTGAGTATTAACATTCGCAGTTTTCATAATAAATAATAATAAAGTAGTATATAAGATAATTTTTTTCAGAGAAAAAATTAAATAATAAATACTTAACAGTGGTGAAATAACCAGAAGGGGTTCTTTTGTGGAGATTTTTGTAATTTTAATAGTTGAAATCATGAGTTCATTGAAGTTAGATCATCATGGAAAACCTGGAAGCACTGGATGGTGGTGAAATAAACTGATATTTGAGCTTTTTTATTTACATCTGAATTATTTCGTCGTTAATTTCATTAGATTATGTTTTGAATGACAAATTATTCAATGGTTTCGTTTTTAATCTTTATTAATTATACTACTACTAACCGATATATTTTATAAGAATACCTTTCATAGCTTATTCTAAACTATGATATTTGTATATGCATATATACACATGTTATCTAAATATGAAAGTATATCACTTTTACTGCGAATAAAATTATATTTGTCTTAAAATAAGGTAAGGTGAATAAATTAAGGAAAAATAGAATAAAAAAAAAGTATATTATACATATGATCAGTGTATATATAGATAGATACAATATCTCTTTAATGTAAGAAATCCATGATAATAACTACTTATTATACAATCAATAGTATAAATGCTCAAAATGATATCTTTTTTCTATACCTTATTTAATTGTTAATTAAAAATAGTTAAGTAAGTGAAGAGATTAAGTAATGGTAAACACTTTTAGGCAAAATTTAAAACAAACTCTTAGTTATTAGTATATATAGTATTAAAATGTATCCTCAGAAACAAAAGTGGTAGTTTATACATAACTGAGGCTTGCTTAACGAAAGATTTTTCATAACATCCTTAGTACTCATAATTTGAGCTACTGAGGCTGTAATCATGTGTGTTCACAAAACTGTTCATTTTATCCAATAACTTTGAAAAGGTGTTGTATTAGCTTGATGTAATTTATTCTTCGTTTTACTATTTCACTTTTTGTTATGTATCATTACGTTACAATGTGAGAACATAAGCGAGTTTTGGGCAGTATCTGTCAAGAGATTTCTAGTGTTTGAAGAATAATATTAACTACTGAGCACTGGACAGATGTCTGATCTTATAGGGGAACTCTCCACTAGTGATTTTTCTGAAAATAGGAGCCAGGAAATACGCGTCAATATTTATAATCTTTGATAATTTTGATTTTGATCATTTTTTGAAAACGTCCAAAGTGAACTGTCCAATAAACAGTTTGAATTTCTTAAATCACTGCCATTCTTTTAAATATAATTTCTTGCATTTACCAACTATTCTGACTGTTAAAAGAGGATTCTTACAAATTTTTATCAAAGTTTTGAAAGCATTCTTTTAATTGCAACGACATATGATACCTAGTGTTTAAGGAATAAATCTCCCGAATATAAACTTAACAAATAGCTCAGTTTTGTAGATGATATACCCATACACAACCAAATCTCTGTTTGCATAATACAATGCTTAGAAGGGTGTTTCAAATATTCATATCACTTTTACTGAAAGAAAGGTTCAAAGGAATTTTAAACCAAGTTTTGAACTAAAACGTTTTCAATGGTCAATAAAATTATATTGAACAGTCGCCAAAAATCAAACTGAAAACTAGTCACACTATTACATAACTCATTAGTTTGAATAAACTTTACTACTGATCTTGAAAATAAATTTCAAAACTGAATATCTATTCACCAATTAAATATTCACTTATAATGTCATCTAATGTTTATCTTCTGAAGTGAATATATTAGATCTACCTCATTTCTTCTTACAAATACAACATAAGTAATACTACTTTACAATGATTGAATAAATTTTAGCATTTTTATGAAAACATTTCTTTTTTTCATATGTGTACATTCACGGAGGGTACTTGACTTGTATGCAGGTTTTACTACTTTTCATAAAAAGAGAATAAATTTGAACTGGGGAAAATTATGATCCACTTAATTAAGCTAATTATACTCTGATGAATTTCATAACTAAATCATAGAAATCTTCACATCTTCATACTGAAATAACTAGCAAACGGCTGATTTACTCATGAGTAATACTTTTCAAAAGTATGTAAAAAACTGACGGTAATAAAATATCATAAAATCATCATGACGTTTTTATAACTTGTCACTTTTTGATTTAGCTAAATAAACTGACCAAAACAATTACTTTTATGAATTAAAACCTAATCCCACATACCTTTTCTGGAATTTTTAAATGATGTGATGAATATGATTGAGGAAAATAAATTCGCTCATAATCGTTATCCATACGATTGCCATGACGTAAATAATTTGTATGTTGCATATCTCTTAGACGACGATCTGAATGTGCGTGAATAATATGAGGTTGTCGATTAAGTTGACGATTCAATTTCACAGTGGAGTAGGGTTTTGTACTTAAATTTTGACAAGATGTATAATAATCTCTTTCCAGTGATTTTAAACGTTTAGAATTATGTAAATGTCCAAAACTGGTACTTGGTCTAGCTGAAGTTGGTACAGGGTATAAATCATATGATCTGTTTAATGCGCATTCATCCAAATAACCAGAAACTGATGCTGGACGATGTCTATTAAATCGGAGGCTGTTGGTACTGAATACGGATGGCAATACAGGTTGATCAAATACTGAGATAAAAAGAATTATGGTACATCATTCTGTCAAAGGATAGAATTCGTACAATTTTAAACCAAACAAAAATTAATATATGTCATCAAAGTATGGCATAAATTTTCCCTTACTTTTCCATTGTTATTCAGTGTATATTTAAAAGTGTTATCGCTTGTTAAATTACAGAATTTAGCAAAAGTAAATATTCTGACCGATGACATTGGATGGACCAATATTCTCTGAAAAGATGCTTACTGTTAATAAGAACTCCAATTTTCTACTCATTGGGATATTACTATTATTTGTATTCAAAGAAATATTATGAAGTCTGCTTTTAAAACCAGTGCGATGAATACAATATTAGGAATAATAACAATCACAGCTCACTGCGAACTATTTACATCCACAATTTGTAGACCAACTCGTTTCAAATACTTTCGCTAACAATCATACTACTTTTCTAAGTAATACAGTAGGCTAATAAATTACAGTAAATATTACGTGGTACAGGTACATTTACAAAACAGAAAAAATGTGATTGTCGACTAGATTCTCAATCCAATTACAAACAGTAAACTAGAATGGCTCTTGAATATTGCTAAGCATATTGCTGAAGTTTCCGTTTGTCACCGGACTAATAAAAGCCGGCTCTCTCCAACACACACTTTTATTTCATTTAGAGTGCCTACAAATTTCATAAGATGTGGCTGATTTCACATGCTTTTCAAACTAACGGGGTAATAATCGAAAGAGATAGTCTTTACTTAAACTTCATTAGTTTTGTTAAAGAAGTGGCATGAACGTTGGTTGAATTTTAAGGAGTACTTTTCGTAAATAAAATTTTAGTTAACGTTTCTAAACTTACTTTTCTTATATGTATACTTTTTATGTGAATGACTGGTATGAATTGCTCTTCTTTTTTTTTCCGTTGATGGTGATCGTCCAACAACGACTTGTACTTGAGATCTATGTTTTAATGACTCATCTTCTGTAGATAAAGCATCTTTCTTTAATGACTTGATATGTTGACTAGGAGAATATTGATAATCTGATGCAATACTCCATTTTCTGTGGTAATTATTGGTTGAATCCCTTGGTTGTATCTCAACATCTATATCATCTTGTCTAGTTGAATTATTTAGATCTACTAAAGTATCCGATAAATCATCCATACTTTTTTCAACTGATCGATGCTGTATTAAATGTTCTGATTGATGATGAATTTCTTCATTACCAATTGTTGTTGGTGATAAATCAATATTTTGATCATCAAGTGAACCTTTGTGATCCTGTGTATTGACATTATTTCCACTTATTTTTGCACTTATTAAAGAGTCTGGCATGTTTTTGTTGGATAAATAGCTCTGTTTTTTACCTTCTAATAATTCTACTGATCCGCTGACTTTGAATACTTCCGATTTTTGTGGTATATACGTATCAGAGTCATCTAAACTTTGATTGATACCAATTAGAGTGTTTTTGTTCTGTCTTTCACCTATTGATGCACTCATAGTATAAACCTTTTGGTTTCGATCTAATGAACCGAAGTCACTCAGTACATATTCGGATTCATCACCAAGTTGAGTATGAAGTCGATTTATGGGTTCATCTTTATGAGATGAATGTCTGACAACAAATAGGAGTGAATAAAAAACTAAATGAATTGCACAGACCAAGAACAAAGTTACACAAAAATATTAAAATCCAGTATTTTTCACAAATACCAACTACAAATTATTCTTACAGAATATGAGTGATAATGTGTTGAGTGAATAATTATTTCTATTATACATCGACTTATCCTTATTGTATAATATATTAAAATGACACATGGTGATGATTTCAGAATTTATGTTAATTTACATACTGGGGGATAAGTAACATGTAGACATCGAGCTTCAATCCAGATTCATCAGGATTTATTCCTTCATTTACCGTTTTTCTGATTTAAAAGAGCTAAAAAGAAATCCCAAGAAAGACTGTAGTGTTATCTTGATGCTGTAAGTAAAGATAAATGTTACGTAAACTATATTTCATTGATAGGTTCCTTTCTCTGAACAATTACCAGTATGTTCCATACACGAAATTTCCAAATTTATAAACAAAGTGCACATAAAACACTGTGGGGCATGATCCTCAATAGATAGAAACTTCAACTGTTCATAACCAGAAGATTAGGTATGATCAATAACTTTTTCATTCTGTTTTACGTTTATGAAATTATTTCAGATGTTCTAATTTACAGCTAGTTGAGAATTAGAAAAATTGACTTTGCCCACCATGTTATCCAGGAATACTTTGCCATTTATACGAATTCGGTGTTTAAAAGTATTAGACAGATTAAGATTCAGATGGATTAAGTGATACCGTTAATGATAGTTTGTAGCAGAATTAAGACTATAGTCTTTCGGCTGACATAACAGTTTATTATTGAAGTATAGTTCTTAATCGCCTGTCAAGTCATTTTACAATACGCCTACTTGACTTAACAGGCCTTGTTCAAATTATTCGCGTTTACATTTCAAAATGAAGATGAAATAAACCATTGTTGTTTTATTATCTGTAAAAGTTGTTCGTATGCAAGGAACAAACATTTTAACACTTGATAACAAGTATCCACAACAGTTAGTGATGTTAACCAAAATACGATCTAATACTGAAAAGTCGTAGTTAACAAATAGAATTGTTTTTGACTTATATAAACATAAACTATGGAACTTATATAAAGAGACTGATTGAAACCCGAAAATAAACATGTTGATTGTTCTTGACACAAACAAACATACAAGAACTGATGTTATATCACTTAATAAAAATATTCTTTTATTTACATTAATAAAAACTAATTATTCTTACTTTTGCCTATATGTGTATTCTGTTCGATTTTTTAATTTATGTAAGGTTGATTCCAAATGAATAATTTTCCGTGAAAGTTCATTTTTCTCTAACAATAAATTTTGTAATTGACGATCTTTTTTAGCGTGAGCTCGTTCTAAAATTCTCATATCTCTTGACAAAGTATTATATTCATCTTCAACACGTTGAAGTAAATTTGACAAGTTTTGCTCTCTTATTTCTGATTCTCGAAGCTGAAGTTTAACAAAGTAGCGAAAAAGTCAACAAGAAGTTTCAGTTTCAACAATTTACTAATTAATAAGTGCAGGTATTTACAATGCCATGGTTGTTATAATCAGGTCATTGGATGAGACTCTAATTTATGGACGACCTTTGAGCGACGTTAAAATGACACTGAGATTATCCAACTGCTAACCAGGACCAAATGAAGGTTATAAAAGTGTGAGGAATTAGAATTATGATTCACAGTTGATGGTTAGGGTCAGGAATCAGATTAAGAGTTTTTATCACGAACTTACATCAGCTAAAGTGCCAGAACGCTATTTGGCCAAATAGATAAATGAAGTTCGCACCCAAATCCAAGACCTATGATCTTATATGTAATATGTTCGTCCATATATTAGAGTCTCGTCGGTCTTTGTTATTGTAAGCAGAATGACGACAAGTAATATGTTTCTTTAAGTACATAGCAATCATGTTGGTTAATTAGTTATTCGTATATGTAGATTATGAAAATTCGATCTTGAAACATTTGTAAACTTTGTGCACAAAGCAACTTATTATTTAATTAATGGCAGACTCAACCAAGTTAACCTTATCCAAAATCTAACCACTAATCAGAGTCCAGAAAGCCTCTGAAAACTTTATCTGGAAATATATTTTACTGGTTCATTTTATCGTCGAATCAACGCTTCTCAATCATCATCTTTTTCTGTTTCTATTAGTTTGATTCAATAATTTCGTAGGCGGCTTAACAAAACAGATGTTTTGAGGCCATAAATACCACAAAGCTTGATCGTATTTAAGTAATAATGTTAATTCAGTCTGAGAATAGGTTTCCCTTAGATTCGTAAATGGACAACGCCTAAAATTATCAGTATGCCATAACCATGATAGGAGATAGAACTAAGGAGAAATAGCTGAAGGCACCAAATATACACTACTACAAATATTCAAAGTCCAACTGTAAGTTTTCCTGGTATAACGAGAAATCTACTACCTTAAGTTAGCTGGTTCCAATCTTCAAAATTAGGTATTACTTTTTCATTCAAGTTGCGTTTTTGTAACAGTTTAGATATTCAATAAAGAAAGAGTAGTACAATGATAAAGTTTCTAACAACTAATGTCAACATATTACTACGGTATTTTTCGAGTAAATATTCTATAAAATAATAACCTGTTAAAGTATTTATATGAGATATAAAATCATCAAGCTAGACATACACAACTGAAATAATACATAAGGTTATATTAAAAATGCCCTTTATTGTGTTATGTAACAGTGGTTTAAAGAAACTCATTAGAAATGTTGAAGTCTCAGCTACATAAAAATACAAAATAACTAATGTATTCAAATGCAGTTTATCATTTAAGTTGAATCAAAACTGATAATGTTGATTTTATACAATTGAGATCATAAGTCAATTGAATCTAGCTTCCAGGTTTCTCAAGGTGGTCTTCAACTAACTCATGATCTCAACTATATAGAATTACTAAAATTTTCACGAAACCCCCTTCTGATAATGATTATGTTGAATTCGTTTTTCAATAACGATTGCTATTTAAGTTATATGTTCCTTTATCTTATTGTTCTACATTATCAAGTCTAAAATCGTTTTTTTTCTCATCTTCACATTTTAATGAACTAAATGTATGACCAGTGAAATGTAATAGATCAGGTATAACTCATGTGATTCTCATAAATGTTGTTTACCTGTTAAATTACCAAAAGTGAATATCTTGATTTATATTAAATGAATTTCTCACTAATTTAAATCTAAGTACAAAATCATTCAAAAAATACCTCACCCCCCGGCAAAAAAACAAATTGAGATAAACAAACGTCACACTCAATTTGTATTAATGTTTGTGAATTCAAGTGTATAACTTTTGGTAAATAAAATTACCAAAATATCTATATATATTCTTTACATATTTCTTTTTTTATGTCATATGAATCTGAAATCTAGATTGTAAGGAAGAAAATTCAAGCAAAAGACGGTTTCATTAAACATAAAGTACTTTATTAGATGATTAATAATTCCTTCAGGTAAATGATTGATCCTTATTTCAAAATAAGTGACCTTAACATTCGAACAAATGTAAATTAGATTTTAGATAAAGTATGTAAAAGGGTCTTAGGTGGATAACATAAATATTCATTGAAAATTCAAGATTTCTCATTAGTCTAAACAACTTTATAGATATTCTTAATACATACTGTAGATAGCTATGCAATACTCGTTTATTTTATATTTTGATTCTTAGTTGGACTTTTAGTGTCTATGGATGTAGAAAGCTTTATCTTTTAGTGAGATATGATATCTACAACATAGTAATAACTAAAGAATATACCAAAGTTGACTGTTATAAAATCGTTTAAAAACACAGGCAATAAGAATATATTAAGTTGATTAGTAAAATTGACTAGCAATACGCACAAAAGAGAGTGGATGTTAACCACATGTTTATTCCTGAACACCCAACTTCCGACTGTAAAACACTTATTAGCATGATGAACTATCTTTCGTTCTTACACAGTATAAGCGTTTACCGTAGTTGTGGTGTGATCACGAATAAAATAATCCTGATAGAATGATTTACCTGATGATCTTTTAGAATCACTACAAAGCTTAAAAGTCTATCATCAGCAGCAACCACACAACAAGAAAACGTGTGTTGGCTGTGTAGCTACATATACAAATGTGAACTGACATAGATCTAATTTCATGTGACTCCAAACAACACATTATATGTTTTCGTTGATGAATTTACCAAATTTGCTGTTACTGCCTTTAACGATTCATTTCTAATTATTTGTGGTGATTTTAATTCATATGATCGTAGCTTCCTTTCGTCACCAGGTCACCGAAATGTACTTGATATTCCCTTTTGTTCGGATGCTTATTTAGACTTAATTTTCATTAATGGTGTGGGAATATATGTGACTCACAAACGGGCTCCATTGTCTAGTTCTGATAATTGTATTATCCGTGTTCGATTTAAAGTATATGGCAAGCTTGGAAAGAGTACACTCTTGCATCAGGCAAAGAAACTTAAATACAGTAATTAATCAACAGTAAATATCCTGAATCCGACTTGTCAAAAACACTGCTGACGTTTTAAATTATTATTTTAAATTTTGCTTTGATGCTTGTTGTCCCACTGAAACCATTTTCGTAAGTTGGGTTCGACTTACATCTCCATAACTAAAGCGATTATGGAGGGAAAAAGGAAGAATGTATATAGAGAACTCCATTGAGATTTGAAAGCTAAATGGTCTAATAAGCGACTAAATTCTAATTTTACTCAGAAACTCCTATTTTGTAAAAACTCTCCAAATATGTGGAAACTACTTAGGGAGACTACAGGTTGGAAACGAGGTAGTTACGTAAGCCAGTTTAATATTCGTCACCTTTCCTAAAAACAATAAAAAACATTGCTACTTCCACTTCAACCTGCTTTAGAAGATCATACCAGTTTTACATGTTGATGTTGTTCAGTATTGTAACATAGAGTTCAGATAGGAAAAGGGCAAGAAATATGTTCAGTGCTCATTTCTAGACTATAAATCTCCATTTGACTCTCTTTCAAGACCACTACCACTAGAAAAGTTTGCCAGCGTTGTCATCAACAGTTGGATTACCAACTGTCTGTGTTCTGGCCTCTCTGGAAGAAAAAAGTATACAGTATTCGGAGGAAAGTGCCTAACGTCTTTAGTAACTCGAAACGTGTGACGCAAGGAATTGTTCTTACTTTATTTCACTTATCTTTGTTACTGAATGATCCGCTGTTTTCTAGAGAAAACGTTTTTGCTGGATATGCTGATAATACCACTGTATGTGAGCCAACTTCCCATTTTCAAATCCTCTGGAAATGAATGATTTTTGTCTCACATTGTACTATGGTCTGCTGTCAGTGGTGTCACACTTAGTCCTTATAAATGTTAAACTATCAGTTTAAGCCTAAAACATTGACAGAACTTAAAAACCTTGTTATAATCCCACCAAGTTTGTACTATTGAAGATTCTGTAATAAAAATACTGTCAAAGGTCCTTTTCCTTCATTTACGTTTTTCCTATGATCTCCCTTGGTCTTCTTCCGTTCGACTTGCTATGTAAACAAACCATATGCTTTTGGCACTGTTCGACATTCATTTAAATGATCTGTACATTCTCACATATTACCTATTATTATTTACTGTTCTCCGTTATTCATTCACGGGCATTTGCGAAAAGATTTTGTTGTGATCTGAAGAGTGCTGAAGACGGTTAGAGAGTGTGTCTTGAATCTTTTAGGGACATTATGAACAGACATTTAAAATCTTGCGAATTTATGGAAATTATTATCTCATCAGATACTAACAATCAACTCCATCCACAACTTTCTCCAGAACGAGACGCCGATAGATTAGAATTCATTCACTTAGCCAAAAATATGAAAGCTCTACAATATCGTGTCTAGTAAATATACTATGTAACGAACAGGTTGTTAGAGTTAACCTAGTCAACAAATAGTATTCTTAAACATATTGCTAATTAAACGTTGTATAAATTCTTATATTCTGGAAGAAATTTTCATTTAACTCCATGTAATTTAATTACTTATTTCGTGTGTATTTGTATGCAGGTATCCATTGTATTTTCTTTCTGCAAAAGAAACTTGTTAAAATAGTTTATGCTATGAATTCTGTATTGTTCTAAACACATAATGTTGAATAGAGCCATCAATGATGATTAAATCACAGGTTTTCCTGTTTTTCATTATCTCCTACCATAAAAGTATTGCCCATATAAACTGTGTAACATATCTATTCCTTCATGATTGTGATTATTCTTGTTAATTGTAAACTCTTATACAATGTTCAATCTATAATAGTAAACTCACACTTTGTAAAATGTATTCACGTTCTTCCATTGCTTTTAAATAATCATTTTCACTTTGTTTAGCATTAAAACGATAATCTTTAACTTTTCCATGTAGATTATGATAAGATTTTTCTAAATTTGTTGTTTTCTTTGACCAATAATCAGCCGTTGCACGTACATCACGAATTTCTGCTACAAATAATTTTAATAAACTAATGAAAAAGAGGAAAAAGAAAACGTTTTACCTGATTAGTTTGATTATGATAAGGATAATAAGTGTGTTATATTACACTATAAAGTGGGTTCTTAGCAAAAGAACAATGTATTACTGTAGACTATAATTTAAGAAATTATCTCACTTGTAACTAGGCAAAAATATTCTAAAATCCTTCCTTGATCACTTTTTTGTCACATAAACTAAGAATCTCGATTTGTTTTCTTCTCATTTCAACAAATGAAAAAAAAGATAATAGAGCATTTACTTCTGTACTGCTTAATGTTTATCATCAGCATGAAAGCATATTTTACAATTCACATACATAATTATTTTGTTGTTTAAACATCTATAAAGGAGAAAAGTTTATTACAATATTTGTAAAGTTTTAAAATAAATAAATTCAATGTTTGAATAGCTTGGAAGACAATTTTCATTCAAAGATTTCATGTAAGACTATATGTAAATAAAATGAACAATGCTTAACGGTGGATAAATTTTTCTTCCAGTAAAAACCATTTACCTGTCATCATTATTACTGCTATCGATTTAGACACAAAAATGAACCGATAACGTTGATTATCAACTCCGTTTTAAAACATTTTATAATATACAGCTCACTTTGACTCATGATTTCAACTTTGAAACAACTCACTTTCTTGAAACAAATTCAGTTATGAATTTAACTTACTATGAAATTATGAGTATGTGATTTGTAAAACCTTATTTAGAGAACAAACCAGCTTCCAGTTGAAGAGGGAATTAGGAAAAGACGTTAGAAATGGGTAAGATATACATTGAGAAAATCAACAAACTGTATCACGAGGCAAGCGCTGACTTGGAATCTTGAAGGAAAATGAAAATGAGGAAGACTAAAGAACACACTGAGTCGAAAATCGGAAGCAGACATCGAAAGGATGAGTAGCGACTGGAAAGAATTGAAAAGGATTGCTCAAGACAGGGTTAGATAAAGAATGCTGATGGACAGCCCATGCTTCTCTGTGAAGGATAACAGGAGTAAGTAAGTAAAACCTTATTTGCAACATATTCACCTGTGGATTTCCGGTGAATACAATGTTTATGGCAGTTATTAAGTTCGTTTGAAATACTGGGAATATATTGTCATTGCTAATAGACACTCAAAAATTTGTGAGTAATTATTCTAACTTGCATGATCAGTGAATATTGTTTCATTGCAATGAAGGTCTCATATGATATGATAATATATACAAATATCTATTACGAAATAAGACCTTTTTCATTTCAATCGATTTGGTGATATACAAAAAAATCATGGTAATGACCTCCAAAGTATACATTTGAAATGATCTCAAAGATTTCAATTACAACTTTCAAAAATAATCGTTTCTCTAAACTTATTCAATTTCTGTCAAACTATTTCTTCTAATATTGACTAATATTCATATCAGTTATTTAGCAATCGAATTAAATTATCAAAGAAAATACATAACTGATACAATCACGTAATTTTTAATCTACAACGTTTATCCAAAATCTTTGTTGAACAAATCTCTTCACAAATTTATTCGTTCTGGCAAAGCGGTGCTCACAGCTACTTGAACATTCCTTAGAGAACGTATTCACGAAGTCACTATGAATCTGGTGTCACTGAGTTCAAGGTTTAACACCATTGATGACATTTCGTCCGTTATCAAATCAAAGGAAATAGGGTCAAATGTAAACGAATTTTCTAAACGCAGAGAATAGTTTCACCATTAATCGTCAAAACAGCGACAGATAAGACAGTTTAAAAAAATTTCGTAACACGTATAAAACCACAAACTTCAGCAGACTGGAGATAAATCCAACACATCGGTTATTAACAAATCAACCATTATTTTATCAGATAGGAATCTAAATACCCTCGAAATGTCTCTGTTTAAAAGGGTCTTAATTTCAATATGAATAGACCATTATCACCTTTGAGAATTTTACCTGAAATTAAATCGGCTTTGAATCTTTTTTCTGATGAAGCAGCGAATGATTTGGGGAATAAAATAGCCGCCACTTTATCATATCAAAAACCACACAATTCCAATCTAACTAAAAATGATTTATATCCATTAAAACATCTGAGAAATGATAAGACAATTTTCATTACAAGAGCAGATAAAAGTAACACCAAAAAAAGTAACACACACATTATGAATTAATCAGACTACGAGAAAAAAGTCAGGAAGACTGACAACAGATGCGCTGTATGGGCTAATAAGAGCAGTTTGAGCATAAAATATGGTATTCAACTAGCTACCATATGGCAAATGTTCATTAACATGTAATTTGACCCTATCTCTATCCAACCCGTTTATTTCACACACATCGTTACTCTGATATTTTAGCATTACAATTATAAATATGATGGTTCTCATTTTACATTCACATAGACGGTTTAAAAACAATTTCAACTTTCAACTTGCACTTTTATTTACTTCATATAAAACAAATAAACACCTAATATCAACTATCAATCACTCAAACATACACACAATCATTCATTCATTTCTCTTCACATTGTAAACCTTTCACATGATTATCATTTAACTGACTCGTGTTATCCTATATACAAAAGTCAACATCCGAATATGATTAGTTAAGCACAGTAAGTATTTGATTTGATTGTTTAAACATTATATAATTTTCGATGATTTTGATCTTGATTACTACCCTGATGTCTAAGCAGGTTTGCTGGATGAAAATGTGGAATTATTTAAATTTCAATAGATGAAATTATTTCAAATATAATCCCCACAAATAAATAAGAGTTAAACAAAGATGGATAGTGGCTAGCAGTGGAATCAAGGACGCGCGTATCATTCTACCTGCGACTCGTCAGCTGGATGTACCTGCATCTCACAGTTGATGTTCACTCTGGGACTCGAACCCAGCACCCTACGATTCAAACGTCATCGCGTTATCCACTCAGCTAATAAGTCCTGATAGCCACTTGCTTGTGCAATGTGTTGAAGTTTAAATTCACTAGTTACTATCCATCTTTGCTTACCATGCTTGAGAATTAAAGCTATATCGAGGCAATACGCACGGTATACACATATGCCAATTAGAAACTGACCAGTTGCAGTCCTAAACATCAACAGGAAGATTCAAACAAACAATACTAAGTGAATTTAAAGAAAACTTAAGTTTTTGAAATTTTCAGGCAGTTTATATTTGTGATGAAGTTCAAGATCTAAAGTATGAACATCAGTTTTTCGTGGTAGGCGTGAGATAATGGATTCATTAGAAAAAGAGTTCAGTTTTTAAAATACCTTTTATCTACTCATATGACTGTACATTTCATTCTTTATTCAATTTCATCAAATATGTACTTAAACTGAAAATCGACTTTAGTAAATGAGCAATCATAAAGCTTTCTGTTATCAAAACCAGAAAGAAATGTTTTTTCAAAATAAGAATTATTTGACTCTCAATAATTTACACAAATGAAATGAATGTTTGAATGGCATATGAATACTATATTTTAAGTATTATGTGATTATGGTCATTAAATTGAACATGAAGATTATTCATTATTGATAAATCAGTAGACATTATTGAGGCACTATTGATAATTTTAATTCTTGCCTCATTTCAAAAAGCTCTCGCTTTAAAATGTTCATTATTCACCAAAATGAAATACATATTTGGGTTATCAAGTTAGCTCTAGAGACATATTTAGTAACACGCTTTTTGCCTAAGATTGAGTTTAATTTGCATGCTTTGCTAATTTTCTAATGTAGATGTCATTAAACTCGACAATCACACTAGTTTGAAGTTTTGGCAGACTTCGTGTCATACGCTTACCACAATTTAATAAAATGTGAGTAGTGAACAGCGATGAACTCTTTTAATTTTTTTTTATAAAGGAAATTTAATTTTTATTTCCGATATCAATGATATTGAATTCATATTACATACCGACTAATGAGCTTGACTGATATAATATTTGTTACATAACCTATTCAAATAGTCACATCCAGCTTGAGTAAAAATTGAGAACAACTATAGTGAAATTAGTGAACTGCTGAAGTCCTATTTATGAAGCCAACGATTTGGAGAAAGCATTTGCTTTCTGGTGAGATTTTTGAAGATAGCAAGGATTCTAAAAGATCACGACGACTGTCAATCCACTATATGAATGAACAACTCAGATCTGCATAGTGTTTTGATTATTATTATTTCCTGTTCACTATCTGAGCAACTAATAATAAACTAAATTCATAAAAAAGGTTCGGCTTAGTTGAACTTAGAAAACAGTGAAACGACATGGTAGCTAAAAGTCCTAACTACAAAAGACTCCGAAGAATATTTCTCACCATGGATTTTATGGGCACAAGATTTCGAGAAGTGATATTTTGAAAACGGATAGAAATGGAATACTCTGAGGTTTACAATCTCCAATATTTACTGAGTTTATTTTCTCCACCTATCAGATAAGCTACTGATATTTTAAGTGACTAGGTCATGACAGTGAGATAAGTTTAAGTGCTCTGCGCAAATACTTGATTACAACCACATGACAATGACTGTTGTATATGCAATTTAATATTCAGATAATCATCATGTTCTATGAAATGATTGACATGATATTTTTTTTATGGTTTATCCAACTATATCTGTTTTACAACTAACTAGTTTCATGCACTAAATTCAAATAGATTATTAAAGATTTTTTTTGTTGAAAATCGAGAAATTTTAATTTTTCTCTACATTTTTTTCTAAATAAAGTTCATGAATTTGATTTTTTTTAAAAACATTTTTTATTGATTACTCATTCTGATAAGAAAATATTTTAGTAGTAGTCTATTAATGTATTTATATAGGTACATGTTAATAGGGTTAGATTTACAAATAATTGGGTGGTGATATCATTGAAAAAAAAATAATGATACGAAAAAATAATTACTCATTTGACATTACATATACAAATATGGAATGTTTATTTGTTTGTGAATTAATACCGAAAAAAAATGGAAGTAA